GCTCCATAAAATGGCATTTTTTGGGAATGCTGGGGGTAAAAGTGCTGGCCATCCCTGTGGGAAAGGAGGGAAAAGCTCAGATTTTCTCTCTCCAAGCCACTGCAGGGTTTAGAGAAGGCCCAAAGGAGCTTCCCTGGCCTTTCACCCGCCCTCCTGCCAGGAGGAGATCCACAAAAACCTCATTTTTCCCTGGGAAAACACAATTCCCAGCTCCTCCTGGGGCAGGTGGGTTGGGTTTTCCATCTTTTCCCAGGGAATAACATCCTGTTATAGATACATACCATATTGTTGGCTTTTCACAAATATTAAAATGAATGTTACGTGTATAAGATTGGAAAATTTTGTTGTATTAATATAGTTCCTTCTATTTCTGTTATTGGTGAAACTTTGTGGTATAATATACATATGTTAAGCTATGACATAGTATTAAAATAAAAACTATTTTTGTTTTTTTAACCCAAAGACTGGAAAAGATAATTAGAGACCCCCTTCCATTCTCAGATTATCTTATCCAGATGAGGACAGCAATGACCAGAGCTTTGGGGGAGGAATTTATTGCATTTCTGTGATCAGGGAATGTAAAACTCGGTGGATCCAAGAAGATTGATTTATTGGGAAGGGGGAGAGTCAAAAACTAAACAAAGAAACATCCAAAATTTAAGAAGAATGTTTGAATATGTATGAGAATTTATGGATATGTAGTAAGGGTCTGTTTTTAAGGGACAATCCTTTGTTAGTGAGGTGAATGCAGAGACACCCAGCCATATCTATAAACTTTATTTTTATCTCCTAATTGTCTTTTTAATTAAACTTTTAAATTCTATAAAAAGAAAATCTGTGAAGCTGTTTTCTCACAAGCCCTTCTTTCCCACCCCAGGCACGCCGAGAGCCAGCAGAAGCACCTGGCAGAGAAGATGCCAGCCAAGTGAATCCCTCCTCTGCCTCTGCCCAGGGAATTCCAGAGTCCCACTCCTGCTCATTGACCATGTCTGAAGCTTTCTGTCTGGTGATTGGCCTCTTGCTTCTTAATTTATTTTAATTTTTTTACTCGTGCCACTAAATATCAGGCGTTTTAATTAATAATAATAATAATAATAATGTTATTATTATTCCAGAAACAAAGAGAATTGTACAGTACTTATAACATTATAAATCATGGGTGAGAAGAGAGGGTAGTTTAACTTTATTTTTTTGGTTGTTTAGAGGATTTTTTTTTTTTGGGGGGGGTTGGATGATATTTTACCATTGACTACTTTTTTATTCCTCACTGTAGTTTTCAAATAAAAAAACCTGTTCTTGACGGTGCTATACAAGTCAACAACAACAAAAAAATCCATGCCTGCCTCGTAGTGACGTCGTAGCTTTCAGTAATTTGTACATTTTCCTCAGTTCTCAGCGTTTTGGGGGATGTTCTCTCCCTGACATTCGTTTTTAGGTGTGCTATTAACACGAGCTGGGGCGCAGAGAGTTGGAAGTTTTTTCTGTAAAAAGCTGTAAAATAAAAATTACCACCATTGTTTCCTATGACACGTCTGTTTGTTGCCAAGGGGGTGAATCCTCCCAGCTGAATGTGTCATTTATCATCACCAGAAAGAGCCTTTTTTGGGGGGTTTTTTTTGGGGTTTTTTTTTTTGCCTTGCTGATCACACGAAACTGAGAGAAGAGAGGGAGTTTGTGGAGTAATTTATTTGTAAGTTCCTAATTCTGTTGCACATGGACTTCAAAGATTCTTCTTTATCACTTTATCTTTATTTGTGATGGTTGGAAGCAGCAAACACAACACCCCAGGTGGGCTTTTTAATATTTCCTTGTCCTGGCTGAACATTTCAATGAAATTTTAGAAATGAAAAGAATAATCTGTGGTGAAAAACTGGCAGCAAATTAAATGGATTAAATCTGGAATTCCTCTCTCTGCCTTCAGGAGAGGCTCAGAGCTGAGTGCTGGCTGTAGGGGAAGGGACACTGGGACAAAAGAAATTTGTCTCCATCCCTCTTTTATTGGATTTAAGGCTGGAAGAGCCCAGCCAGCCCAGCCTGGTGCTCCCAGCAGCTTTTTACCTTTTAATTCTCATTTCCTTGGGGGCAAATCCATCCCAGCCAGGGCTCTGCCTGATGACTTATTCAGGGTGTTTGCAAAAAGCCTCAGCTGCATTAAAATTTCATCTCCTGCCAGGAATGGCTTTTATTAAAGCTCTTTTTTTTTATTAAATGAGATTTTTTTCTCCCTTTTTTTATGTTTTTGCAGGAAGGGCAGGGTTGGAAAGAGCCCTTGGAGGGGTTTGGGGGCTGGGATGGGGTTTGGTTTAATTTGGGGAGCGATTGGATGGATCAGGAGCCCTCACCTGCAGCCCAGGGATAAAACAACCCTTCCTTATTTTTAAATCTCTGCAGAAAATACAGAGAAATATCGGGGTGTTGATTTCCCTGCAGCTCTTGGGTGGCTGCCTGCACGTGGGCAGAGCTGCTGGGTTCAAATTCTCCCTCCAAAGGTGAAATTTTCCCTCCAAACCCCCAAATTTGCAGTCTCTGACCCCAAAACCTCTCCGTGGGAAGCAGCTCTGGGGCTCGGGGAGGAGCTGCCTCCTGCTGTATTTAAAGCAAAAAAAGAAAAAAGCCCCAAATACACAAAATTTCCTCTCAGTTTTAAGGAAAAAAAATAGAAAAATAAAAGCAAGAAAGCCCCTGGGGAATCCCAGAGCTCCCCCCAGCCCCATCCAGCTCTGGAGCAGCGGGATGGGGCAGCCTGGAAAAGCTGGAATTCCATTCCCTTGCCAAGTGCCTTTGATTTGCTGGAGAGAATTTGTGATTCCACTCACCCACCCCTGGTTTCCCCCTCCTGTCCTGGGGGGATTTGGGTTTTTCCAGGAAAAAATCCTGTTCTGGGTGTCCTTGGCTGGGTGTCCCGAGGGGTGCTGTGGATGATGGCAATGCTGGAATTGATGGATTAAAGGATATTTCTAAAAGACAAGGATCTGCTGTGGTTTCTGAGCGAGATTTTGGGTTTGTGTCTCACTCCTGGCTCGCACTTGGAGCCTCCTGAATCCTCCTGGGTGGGTTTTGATTCCCAAAAAAAGCATGGAGCATCTCCCACAGGATGCCAGGCTGGGAATTGTTTTCCAGCTGGTCTCAAACCACAACATTCCTCAAGAGTTTGAATTCTCATCCCAAGCCCACCTGAAAACCCTGAAATAAATCAAATAAACAACACCCCCAAATCATCCCTGTGGCTGAGGCCAGGTCCTGCTGGGGTGGATTCCTCTCCCTTGGGAACTGGGATGAGCTCCCTGAGCCAGCTGCACGCTTTGGCTTCCCCTTTTTGGGACTTTGGGTTCTTTTCTTGGCTCCTGGGTGTGCTGAGCAGGATCTCCCCGGACACAGAGTGGGAGAGGGAAAGGAAGGGAAATCCTGGCTGCTCCATCCCTAGAAGTGCCAGCTTGGACACTGGAGCAGCCTGGGGACATTGGGAGGTGTCCCTGTCATGGCAGGGCTGGCATGAGATGATTTTTAATGTCCCTCCCAACCCCAAACTTCCATAAATTCCATTTCATTCCATAAAAACCACACTCACGGCCCTTTCCTCTTCTTTCCCACCCTCCAATGATGAACTGCTGAGCAGGAAGGCTCAGCTGAGACATTTTGGGATCTCCCCAGCCCGCTCCAGGACATCTCTGCTGCCTCACACCCTGCCAGGGAAGGTGAAGGGCTCCCAAATTTTCCCTCCCCGAAGCAAAGCCACGCTTCAGGCCGGGGGAGGCTGGAGCTGACCTCCCTCCCACCCCCCTGACACATCCCAGGCCTCTTCCCAGCCAGTTTCTCTTCCCTCTTCCCATAAAGCAAAGGAAAGTCTGGTGCCCAGGGCTGGCCTGGGGCATCCTGAGCACCCCCAGGAATTCCCAGCAGCCAGGAATTCTCCAGCTGGGATCAAATCAGCTGAAATCCGGCCCTTGGCTGGGATCAGCCCTTCCCTCAGCTCCTTCCCAGCGGGGAAATGTTTATAAAGATCGGGATAAAGAGCAGAGAAAGCACCCGGAGCTGAGAAATTCTGTCAAGGGTGAAAACTGAAAGTGAGAGAGAAAGAGCTCCCCGAAAGTGCCAGGAAACCACGGGCACAGCTGGCAGCACCCACACAGCCAGCATGAGCTCACAGCATCCCCAAAATTCCAGGGGATGCAGCTCCCCCCTCCAGCCCCTGCTGCTGCTTCCTGAAGGTTTTAATTCCAATGAACTCTGGGGAGATTTAAAACAAACCCCACACAGGGTCATAAAATCCAGGAATGGTTTGGGTTGGGAAGGGACCTTAAATGCCAGTTCCATGGGCAGGGAATGGGAATAATTCCAGATTTGGGAATAATTCCAAATCTGTGGGCTGGGCTGCAATGTTCCTTTGTGTTTATTCCATAGAATCATAAAAATCATGGAATGGTTTGGGTTTTTGGGTTGGAAGGGCCCTCAAAGCTCATCCAGTTCCACCTTCCACGGTCCCAGGGTGCTGCAGGCCCCATCCAGCCTGGCCTTGGGCACTTCCAGGGATGGGGAATCCACAATTCCTCTGGGAATCCACAGTTCCTCTGGGAATCCACAATTCCTCTGGGAATCCACAATTCCTCTGGGAATCCACAGTTCCTCTGGGAATCCACAATTCCTCTGGGAATCCACAGTTCCTCTGGGAATCCACAGTTCCTCTGGGAATCCACAGTTCCTCTGGCCTGGGGCCACCCCACCCTCCCAGGGAAGAATCTCTCCCTGATATCTTCTCCTCCCAGCTCAGTGGGAGAAATTCCCTGCCCAAAATTCCCCCTGTGGAGGGAGGGAATCCCAAGCTCCATCCCTTTCCCGGGATGAATCCCTCACCCTGGAGAGGGGATTGGAGCAAGGAATGACCTCTGGATTTGGGGATCCCAAGGCTGGGATCCCTGGAGTGCAAGAGCCGGGATCCAGCACGGATCGTGGGGAAAACCTCGGGAATTCCGGTGGCAACTGGAATAAAGAAGAGCCAAGAGATGCAGGTGAGCATCCTGAGCCAGGATTTTGGAGGTTCCAGCACCCCAGGAAAGCTTCAGAAGCCATTTCATCACCCCCTGATGAAATGCCAGCAAAAGCAGAGGTTTGGGATTAGGAATTTCAGGGAATTCCACAAGGAATCAGAACCAACAGCCATAAAAAACCACCAGGAATGTTTCTCCTGACCCTTTTCCCCCGTATTTTATGGAGCAAACAGATCCCAACCCCAATCAGAAACAACTTCTGTCAGTGAGGCCCTTCTGGGGATAAATCTGACCTTGGATCTTCCCAAAAAATGATCCAGAAGCAAAAAAAAAAGATTCAATATTCCAAAAGTTCTGTGAGTGGCAAACAGGATCCAACAGATTTCATTTCCTGCATCCAGAAATCCCAATCCAGGCATTTATTCCCATTTTTTTAGTGGGGCAGTGATCTCTGTCTGCAGCTCACAGTCAGCCTGGGTGGGATTTAATCATCCTCTGGCTTTAATTGATATTTTTCTGTGATTACTGTTTAATTAGAGATAGAAAATGATTGCTGATGACCATGGCAGCCTTACAAAGATCCAAACCCTTCCCACCGAGGATGCCACGAGTGACTCCGTGAGCTTCCCAAAGGGTTTGGAGCCTGTGAATGAGGAAAATCCATCAAATTCCAAATTCCAGGAGAAACAGCATCCCCCAGCTGGGAGGGAACATCCCTAAAGCTCATTTCCCTCCAAGCACAGTGTGATTCCCACCATCCTTACCTGGAAATCGGGATGTCCTTCACTTCCCTGGGCCAAAACGAAGCCAAAAAATTCAATTTCTGTTGATTGAAAAGGAGAAAAACCACAAGAGTGAAACAAAAAGCTGGGACATTTCCAGAAACCTCCTGATTTTCCAGCAGAGAGAGGCTGGAGCTGATCCCAGTTCTCATCACTCGACTCCCCAGGACTCAAAACCAAACTGAGCACAGACCTTGGGCCTCGGGGCTTTTCTCAGCCACTTTCTTTCTGATTTTGTGTTTTCCCTTTCCTTTTTATTTTTCATTTATTAATTTGTATTGATTTGGGTGAGGGAGGAGCCAGGGATTCCCCAAATTTTGGCTGCATTAGATCAAATCTGATTTTACAGAGAGCCAGAACGATCCTCATTTTTCTCTGGAGGATTATTCTGACAAAAGAGATTTCTGCTTGGAATGCAGGCTGTGGAATTGCATTTTCCTGTGGAAAATCCTACAGCTGCTAACACACATATAATTAACAGTTATATGGTTTATATATATATATATGGATGTAGAATATAGAATATACAAAGTATAATATAGAACATACAATGAATAATATATGATATGTATTACCTATATATTAAATTATATATTATATATTATATATTATATATTATATATTATATATTATATATTATATATTATATATTATATATTATATATTATATATTATATATTATGATAAGATATAAGATATGTAAAATATATATTATACAATGTACAATATCTCATATCTCATATCTAATATCTAATATCTAGTATCTAATATATAATATATAATATATAATATATAATATATAATATATAATATATAATATATAATATATAATATATAATATATAATATATAATATGT